CAATAGTTCTTCCTACTAAACTGCATACCAAGGAAAAGTCATTCTTTTCAGGTGCCACAATATAATTTGATAGGTTGAAAGACAATCCTATTTGTAATATTTCTAATCACTACATAACCTAATAAATAAAAGATTGTGCACATTCAAATATGGTAGTCACACACAATATTTCATATTCTTTCAAACCTGGTCAAGAGTACAGAAGAGAAAAACATTTAAAGGAGAATTAATAGCATTTTCATGTTCTGTGTTAACATTCTAAATTTGGTCTTATTTGCTATTATTCAAACAAACATTTTGGTTGTGTTCCCAGTGAATACTTTCCTTTTTCTAAAAAAAAAAATGCTTTTTAAAAAAAGGGAAATTATTTTTAATACATGGGTGTCATCAAAAGGGCAAAGAAAAAAATGGTATAGTATTAAAAATCATCTATCTAAAGGTCCAGTTGCAAGTAAAGCTTTAAAATTACCACTGATTTTGAAAAATGATTACATGCAGTAGTTCATCTTTAGGACAATTTTTAGTTTACATAGATTAGCTCTTTCTGCATTCATTAATGTCAAAAACATATTTCCTACTATATTGTATGTGACTATCATCGGAGCAAATCAAAACATACAAAATTGCATTATACTCCACCTGTCTTGACTAACCGGCTGTGATAGATTTCTGTTGTCTCAGAAATATTGCTAGTCCTCAACTTACGACCATTCATCTAATAATGGTTTAAAGTTATTACAGCCTCAGAAAAAGTAGTTTAAGATCCATTTTCACACTTATGACCATTGGACCATTTTTGCAATCATGTGATTGTAATTTGGGTGAGGTGCTTGGCAACTGGCTCATATTTACAGCTGGTTGCCGCATCCTGCAGTCATGTTATTGTGTTTTGCGACCTTCCCAAGCTGGACTCTGACAAACTGTATCAATTGAGGAAGATGGATTCAGTTAACAACCACGAGATTTGCTTCACCAAGGTAAAAATTGTCATAAAATTGGGTTCAGTCACTCGCTTAATAACTGATCACATAGTAACCGAAAGTCCAGTCCCAATTTTGGTCGTAAATTGAGGACTACCTGTATTAGTAATCTTCTAAAATTAAGATGCCAATGATTAAATCTGCATGAAGAGTTGTAAGTCTTTTATAAACATAATTCGGTATAAGCAGTGAAACTTGAAATATAATTTAACATTTTTGCTGTTCTATTGTGTATGTCAGTTTCTAGATGTATAACCATGTACAATAAACATTTTGAATCAATAAGTAATGCCAATGTATGCTGTCAAGATCATGACTTTTTAAAAATTGCAACCTTCTAAGCATACATTTGGAGATGTTTGAAATATGTATACACTTGCGCACAATGTACTTCAACATATAGTGAATGTAAAATGCCAACTTGTGTATCAAATTCATAATGATGTTGTTTGAAAAATTTTACTAAAAATATAGAAGCCTTCCTCCCTAAATGTGATAATCCAGATAATCTAATCAAAAGAAAGAAAGAAAGAGAGAGAGAGAGAGAGAGAGAGAGAGAGAGAGAGAGAGAAAGAAAGAAAGAAAGAAAGAAAGAAAGAAAGAAAGAAAGAAATGTAAAATGCCAACTTGTGTATCAAATTCATAATGATGTTGTTTGAAAAATTTTACTAAAAATATAGAAGCCTTCCTCCCTAAATGTGATAATCCAGATAATCTAATCAAAAGAAAGAAAGAAAGAGAGAGAGAGAGAGAGAGAGAGAGAGAGAGAGAGAAAGAAAGAAAGAAAGAAAGAAAGAAAGAAAGAAAGAAGAAAGAAAGAAAGAAAGAAAGAAGAAAAAGAAAGAAGAAAGAAGAAAGAAAGAAACAAAGAAAGAAAGAAAGAAAGAAAGAAAGAAAGAAAGAAAGAAAGAAAGAAAGAAAGAAAGAAAGAAAGAAAGCTCTAGTAGTAGATTCTTAATCCCTCTGGAGAAAACCCAGATTATTTCCATTTAAGGTCATGTAAGCAGCAGCTGCATATTTTGTTTCTTGAAGCAAATTAAAAAACAAAACACCAAGCATGCTGTATTTAAGTGTACTAATATTCCAAATCATTCAACATTTTTCTAATATTTCTCAAGAATTTTCTGTATCTGGTTTAATTTCAAAGAGTATTTCTAAGTCTTTTCTCTTCCTTCCTCTACAAATATCCTGCATACCCAAGCACAAGCTTGCCTAAAATTTGCAAATATTAAATTCAAGGAAGAATGAATCAGATTTACTTTATTTAAAAAATTCTGCTTGGAGAAAGCATAACACTATATATGATTTTTTTAAAGAGATTGGCTGACCAACTCGTTTTACAGATTATTACAAAAATTCCAAATCTATGAGAAACAAAGCACCATGTTTTACAAGGTCTCCTGTAAACAGGAATAGAAACTTGTACAAGGATGGGATTAAAATGTCATATAAAACCCAATAATTGATGAAATGGGATTGGTCTAAATCCGTGATGGCGAACCTATGGCACGCGTGCCACAGGTGGCACGCAGAGCCATATTAGTGGGCACGCCAGCTCAGCTCTGGGGCGCATGCACGCGCCGGCCAGCTGATTTTCGGGCCTTCTGGGCCCACCAGAAGTAGGGAAACAGGCTGTTTCCTGCCTCTGGAGGGCCTGGGGGCAGGGTGGGGAAGGCCCGTTTTTCTTTCTTACCTGGCTCCAGATCCTCTCTGTGTATCTGGGAAGGGCGAAAACAGCCTTTCCCACATTTTTTCCTGTCCCCAGCCTCCAGAGACTCCTAGAGAGGCTCCTAGAGACTCCTAGAGAGGTTCTGGAGGCTGGGGACAGCAAAAAATGTCACTTCCTGTCCCACCGAGAGTTGGGAAATGGGCCCTTTCAGCCTCCGTAGGGCCTCCAAGGGAGTGGGAAAGGCTGTTTTCACCCTTCCCAGATACACAGAGAGGATCTGGAACCAGGTAAGAAAGAAAAATGGGTCTACCAGGCCATCATGTGCCAGGAGCGGGGGGGGGTTGCGCACGCATGCACGTGGGCACGTGCGCATGTGATCCTCCCCCGCCCCCCCTCTCCTGGCACGCGATGGCAAAAAGGTTAGCCATCACTGGTCTAAGTAGTATTTTAGACATATGAAAATATACAGTACATGCCATGTTTACATATCAAGGACCCCAAGATCATAGAAGAATGATTTGCTTTATTGTTACAGGCAGGAACAAAGAAAGGAAACTCAGATTTTGGAGTAGGGTGACTGAATCAAGGCCATGAGATTTAAATCCTGATATAGTACTAAACCCTTCATAGTTCACAACTGCCAGTTTGCTTTTCAAATATGACATCTGAAAAAAAGAAAAGAAAACTGGTATTCTTGAGAGATCAGAAGAGATAAAAGGACAATTGGGATGTTAAAGTCCTTCGGGAGTAGGGCGGTATATACATCAAATAAACTAAACTAAACTAAACTAAAAGTTTTGAAAAGAGATATAAATCTACAGTATTAATTCTTATTGGAATTAAAAGAATTCAAGGATTTCTGGTCAGAAGAAAATTAACCAACAATGACATACACAGTAAATTACATTAGGTTTAACTCAACATTTCTAATATACTGATGCCAAGAGGTAAGAAGGTGAAATGTGCAGCATAACAGCATATATCCAACTCATTTGTAACGGAAGTCAACATACCCAATGCACCTACACTCCAACCCTCCCATAGCTGAGGCCCTCCAGATGAATTGGGAATATAACTTTCAAAATTCTTAAGCAGTAGCTAATTTAGGGAAATATTTATTTAACCCCACACTATTTTTACTTACTTGAATAAAAATAAAATAAAATGTATGCATATAGAATACTAGCCATGCATATTTTAAATTAATAAATATATACTAGATGAAACACAGGACACCTTTTCCAATAGCTTGGCTAACATTAGTGAAATATCAATGCCATATATGTTAAACAAAAAAATACCTAATCTATCTTAAGAAGATTCTTTTTGAAAGGGCAAATACCATTCTCTTAAAAGCCTGTGTACTTTCAACAATGACAAGAAACAATAACTTACTTAAAAGACCGCCATTTATATCACCCTGAAATGCTTATCTCAGCTAAAAGACAGGCCAAAATCACCTGTCACCTAAAGCTATATATCTTATATGGTTGCCAATGTTACAAATTCACCTGACAATATGATCTCTTGAACTGCTTAAGTAAGAAGTATACATAGTAACAAGACTGCATGTTCATTCAATGTCCAAATTATCTGGACTATAAATCCAAATGCTAATTTAAGCACACAATACCAAACTGTCATGTCCTTCCCCCACCAATGAACAACAAGTGTCCTTTCAGTAGACTTGAGGGTCTCCTGATTATAAAGCAGTATTGAAATATTTAAAATAATTTAAAAATGAACACTAGAGAACACTCTTCTTCAACATAACATTTTAAGAACAGCAGAAAGTTTCATTTCAAGCATCTGCAGTATACAGATCTGTTAACTGAAAAATGATCTGAATACTAGCTTGTGTTTGAGCTATCACATTTGGGTTGCAAAAATCTGGATGACCAATAAAAATTGGAGTTTGGGGTATATCTTTGATGTTATCTAGAGATCATCCATATTTCTGCAGTCTAAGTGTGTTACCCCTAAGTATATGTAAATTGTACATCCAATTTCATGGGTTGTTTTTTTACACCTAGTAGTTTTATGTGTGTATATACCTAAAGGTAAGTATTATCATTCAAGCTGAATGGAAGGAAATGAACAAACGCTATCTAAATATTATTAACAGAACTATCATTTGTTTGTTTGGATTTCTTGAATTATGGACATGCAATCTCACTTCTCTCTCTACTTTTTCCCTGTGAAATCAAATGCTAAACATCCTTGCCCTAAACAAGGCTAGCTCTGCAATCTCTCTGTTCTTGCAATCTGTTGTGTAACCAATCACTGGAGTTAAATTCCTGAATGACATCATGAGCCCAGCCTATGAAACTTTTGTTATTTTTTTCCTTCAGTGAACTTCAGTTGCTCCCATAAATCTGATGACAGAGAACGCCTTTTAGTTTCCCACAGCACATCTTCATATAATTCAGTAATCATCAGTCATTAAGGTAAGGGATTCTACTTTTATTATAATAAGAACTTTTCACTTTCCAATTAACGATCCTGAGTCCAGTAACAACTAGTCTATACCTTTGTTGAACATTACAATTTAATATAGAACTCAATTGTAAGATACCTTCTGTGTTTATTTTTGTTGTATAAAAGAAGCAAACATATCAAGCATTCTGTATGCATGTTAGAGCCAAAAAGAGGGAGAGAGGAGTGAGAGAAAGAAAAAGAGAAAAGAAGTGGGGAAGAAAGAAAGAAACCTAGTAAATGACATTAAATCTAATATTTCAGCTCTTTCTGCCAAAAAACAAAAAAAACAAAAAACTAGACTATAGCATTAGAATGCAGTACTGCAGGCTACTTCTGCTGACTGCTGGCTGACTGCAGTTTGGCAGTTCGAGTCTCACCGGCTCAAGATTGACTCAGCCTTCCATCTTTCCGAGATCGGTAAAAAATGAGGACCCAAATTGTTGGGGACAATATGCTGACTCTGTAAACCGCTTAGAGAGGGCTGTAAAGCACTGTCACGCGGTATATAAGTCTAAGCGTTACTGCTATTTAGCATTCCTCTCCTCTCTAGTTTAACTTTTGTTAGACACATGAGCAGTTTCCCTTTACAACGATCATTTGTAGTATCCATATATCAGATCTGGTGTCAACAATGTGTATTTTGTGTATTTTTAAATTTACTACTGCCCAGCAAATGAATCATATATGTTTAAGGAGATACTGGATCCCAAAATCAAATCAGAGAAGTCCCAAAAGAATAAGATAGGGAAGACCTTAATGTTTAGCAGAAGTCCCTTTTTGGACAAACTGGCTTTAATACTATTGTTTTTGGAATAGAATGATGAATCTGATGTTAAAGAAATACACGGACAAAGAACTGTTGGCAAGCAGATCTAGTAGTCCTTTTCTGGATCCTAGTCAACAATTCTGATCTTACAATTCCTGAATAAACTACTTAAATCTGTTATAAATATCTTGAATTTAGACTCTAATCTTGCGCAGGATAGTTGTCAAATAGATTCCAAATGACTGATATTAAATTATTTTATCATCTATTAAATCCCAAACTAACATCAAAGACTAAATAACAGGAACAAAAATGTGAAAAAATAATAAAACCTCTTGAAAATAGCAAAACCAAAATGCATTTTAGTAGGAAACACTCTTAAAATATCCAGATTTAATATAAAAAGCTTGCTTGCATTGTTATCCTTTTGATGTACTATTAATTAACAGTGCAATTCTTAAAATACTTACTTGAGATAAAATTCCATTATATTCTGTAAGGTTTACTCTTGTGTAAATAGCATAGAATGAAACAATGTTAGCAAAATTTAGAAGTTGATTTACGGAATAATATATTCTTAGAGAAAAGTTGCATTTTCACCAAATACAAATTCAGTTCCAGAAACCAAATAGACTGGAAAATTTACAAGTTTTGTACAATCAACATTTTTGGATCTTAGGATGTAACATGCCTAACCCTCCTTTAAAAACAAACCAAACCTGGTAAGGGTAATTCCATTATTTCTTTTGAGAAAACATCTACCAATGTGATTCTTGGATTGCAAAGGAGGTAAAATGTCACATTAAGTTATCTACTTTTCAATATCTTTAATTTCCTCTTAACATTCACCATTGATATTTCTTTTCACTTACTGCTTCTTTTCAACTTTCTTGACCCACTTACTATGTTTAGTCTTCATTCCCACAGTTTTTTGGGCATTTCCTATTATTTATCTCTTAACTAATTATTCTTTATTTTGTTAAACTGTTAATTTCTACCTTTAATTAACAGTATAATGAAGTATTTTCTAAAATATATTTTACTTCAGATCCATCACTGACCACATAATTTAGATTCCCAACAATAGAGATAATGGGGGAAAAAAACGGCTACTTGTATGGAAATTAATAACTGACACCTGCCAAAATTTCAAGCAGCAGGAGACTCATGACCTCTAATGGAAAAACAATCTCACGTATTCAGTTGTTTGTAAAAGTGGTTTTGACTCTAAAACTACAACAAAGTCCAGATAGTTTCTAAAACAAGCAAAGACGACAGATAGACAGGCATAAATTTTAACAAAACATAACATCTAAACAACACTGAAACTGTAACATTAAAAGACTACATTTAAATCAGGAAGAGAAAAAAAATTGAAGAAATTAAAAGACCATCATTGGGGTCCTGAAAACCAATAAAATGCTTAGTATTGTTTCAGAACCTTCCAGAAACATAGCCAGCCAGCCTTTCACTGCACAATACATAAAACAAAGAAACTAATCCTATTCATTATCATTTTATTTTTTATTAATTGCTACTTAGATGTATACTAGGCTTCATCTTATAATTATAGCATAGTTTGTTTGTTTTTTAAAAAGATCCTTCACAGTATAATTATGGATGGATTCACAATACTAATAAAGAACAACTCTAAAATACTTCCGAAGTCAAATACTTGTAAGCAAAATGATAGCATTAAATCAAGTTAATGTCAGCTGACTGTTGAATATTGACATAAAATGAAGGCTAGTATATAAGGATTAATCATTAAGTCTTTTAGTTTTTCCTTTTCCATTTTTCAAATATTGAAATAGCAGCTGCTAATCTTGTCAGAAACAGAATTATATTATGTCAACAAGTAAACTGCTGATCCTTCCAAATAGCATGGAAAATTCCATAAAATAAATGTAATTACAATGTGAAATTCAACAGAGTGATATCTGTGATTTTACACGTTAATAAAATAAATATTTCTACCATCTATTTAGAGGTATATCTGTCAAGTATTAAGCTAACAAATGTGTTTGATCTGTAAGTATTTAATTCATGATAGCCGGCTTGGAGCAGGATAAACATTTTAGAATAAATGTGTCCATATTTGGCCAGAAGAGTGATACCATTTTTACCGAGTCCCTTGAGAATAAAGTTTTGTTATTACAGTATCAACCCTTGACAAATGTAAGCCAAAAAAAAGAAACTGGACATAGTGTCAGGCAAATATTTTTGATGGCTAATAGACTATTGCCCTTAATCTCTCCAGAATCAAACAGGGCCGAAAATAATGTAGAGAGAAGCAGGGACTATGAAACATATTTATTATGCAAACCATTCCAGCAAAAATCATGATTCAAACTGAACACAACGCACCAACTACGTTTTTTGGATTGGCAGGTGCTTGACAGGTTTTTTGTTTTTGTGGGCATCAGACAGAGAAGGCTTAATGAGTCCTTTGAGTCATCACCATACATGGTTGGTGGACTGAACTCAGCTCAGTGAGTCACAAATCACAACCGATATGTCAAACATCTACTGTATCTCAAGACTGCTTTCCTATGCAGGTTATTTTACACAACAGAACATTTTAGGAGTTTTAACCGGCAAGGCAAAAATTGTTCACAAATTCTGTGTACAGTTGTAGTCATCCAATTTATATACACCATGAAAGCACAAAAATATACTCACCACTATCTGCATTTAGAATACTGCTATACATGTTTTGTTTCTTATTACGACTTTGTTTCACTATACAATGTGTTGCATTGTGTCACCTTGAAATAATCTACACTTGCTGATTAAACCACTGTATGCTGTAATTCTAACTTCACTTTCCTACTTTCCCTAGCTCCACAAAGGTTCTTAAAACTTCTCAAACCGAAGATATTAAGCACTCTCCTTGAAAGTCTCTGCTTCTTAGAAATCCATTCTTTCTTAAATTTCTGCTTTCCTGTTGCCATGGAGAAGGTCCAGTACATAACTCGCTCTGCTCTGAGGAGAGCCTCAACTATTGAGGTGCATCCACAAACACGGCAAAGGCTTCAGGAGCTTTTTGTAAACTTCTGTCTTATCTTGATATGTTTGTTGCTAATATGCATCATTGTGATGCTTCTTTGAAGTCCAGTATTTTTGATTGATCTTCACTACCTTATGCAATGGGAAATGCACCAGAAGGAGAAAAGAACCAAACAAGAAACATCCAGCACAAGGAAATCTATGCCAGAAAGTCCAGCACTCGGTCTAAAAAATTTCTCACCACCTCCACTCTTACTCACTGTAACCATTAAAAGCACCTTGTACTGAACAGTGATTTGAAAATTACTATCACAAGACGATGCATGAGCTAATTTGCCTGCTTTATTTTTAAAGGAAGACTTCTGTGAATGTTGATGATTAGTGTTATGTGTAAAATGTCCAGCTATAAAAATTTAAATAGCAGCCTTGAAATTTTGGTTCCAGATTATTTGTTTGTTATTACTAATCAGCTATAAATGTTTACTTTCATGAATAAAAAATGGGCTGAATGCACTATTATTAAATGCACAATTAAATCATTATATATTCTAGGAGATATGTGTAACTTGAGTACTTGGATTGTTAACTGAAGCATTTATTAATTTCTTTTCCCCTACATATTCATAATATAAGCTTTGAAAAAATAATAAAGCATTGCATATTTATTGCCTGGTTCTACTGAAATGCAAGTCTAAATATACCTTCTATATCTATATATTGGTTTGCTTGTAACTTTCAACTAGTATCATAGGGCAACAATTTTTGAATCAATGTACCTGAAATGGGATAACTTAAAAAATACATCCAAAATCTGTGAAATTGAAATTTTGCAAGATAATGATGATCATTTCCAATGCTCCTTGCAAGCCTTCCTCCTGGCCAGCAGAAAGTTGCTCCTGCTCCAACCTGCTTGTTTGCCTGGCTGTGGTCATTCTGTTTTTCTGATTAGTTAAGGAAATATCTCGAAAATGATCTCATGGATTGTCTAGTTTGATATATTTATAAATATGGAATATATTCTCTCCTGTAACACTAGTGATATCTCCCAGGTAACTCATTTGCAGTTGCTCTTCATTCATATAATTTAGCAAGAGGACTAGATGGTGAATTCTTGCAAGTTTAATCTTTTCATGTTTTTGTTCCAGAAAGAATCAGTCACTGCCAAAATAAATCTGTACAACGGCTTTTTATTGGTTGCATTAGAAGTTCAACCTGTTGTCAGATTGCATATAACAAATAGCATTTGTTTTTTTTAGCACAGCTATGAAAGGTGAATATTTGAATCTGATTTCAAATTTTTCCCAAATATGACATTGAGTGAACTAGGGATAAAATATATTTTGGTCTTGTGAAACCTCTTTTATAGAATGGTTGTTCTTATCACTTCTATGAAGTTTATAGGCTGTCGCTTTAACTATACATGTATGTGTATATATCACTATACCTAAAGTGGTGAGAAGCAAATGTTGAATGATTGATTACAATCTTAGAATAATTCCACTCATTGAGAATGTACTCTTCATAATATAATTATGTTACATATGAATTTATTTTCCCTACCGAGAAACAACCAGCTCTAAAGTTTCCTAAAATAAAATGAAGGCTAACTGTTTAACAAGATATTAGATTTTATTTTAATTCTCACTGCTTAATACATTTAAATGAGTTCAGATATTTTTGTGCAACATTAAGGAGTATCCGACCATAAATAAAGCATGCCAAAATTAAATCTAAAGATCATTGTTTTCAGATTATTATTGCCTATTTCAGGACCTTCTCTCACTTCTCCAATTTTGGATCCTGCAAAGTTGAACAAAGCTCCATTTAATATAAAATAACAATTACATAAAGAACAATATCAATTATCAGATATCAATACTGGTTTCAAGTGATTTCTGGAAGTTGGGAAGTATCTACACAGAAAATCTGCTGGAGGCAGCATTTCCAAGGGAGACAAGGAAATGTGAGACTGATATCAACAGTGTTGTGGTATTGCTCGCATGCCCCCAAAAGGCAGCGTTTGTGTACAATTTCATTCTAATCATTCTAATAAAAGCTGCATGTGTCCATATGTTTACCTGAATTCTAAGATAAAAATAGATTATTAATTGTAAAAAACAGATTATTAATGTAAAAAAACAAATTCATTTTATTCCCAATTCCCAACTGTTTCAGTTTTAAGACTTAATTTCAAACTTTTGCTCTCCATTTATCCAGTTACAGTATTTTCTTCTTGCATCTGAGCAGCAAAAATTTGAAAATGAATAGCCAGATAATTAACTAGTAACCTCTCCTTACTTTTTGATGAATACTTTTTTATTAAAAGAATATTTTATGAAGATTTTTAAAAACTACAGGAAGACAGAAGAAAAAATAGAGATTATAAAAGTTAAAAAGTGAATAACAAAAAAGAGAAACATATCTAAAGAAATAACTTCTAATTTCTTTTCAGCAGGAATAGACATAGCATTGCCATCCTCGCATACTGCATACCAGAGTTCCATTCTTCCCTTAAAAACATTTTAATCAATAAATCCCAAAATCACCAGTTCATGTTTATCCAGTTTCAGCAACGTCTATAAAAGGTTTGCATTCATTTATAAAAATAGTTGTAAGTTTCCTTCTTAAGCAAACAAGACAATTTAGCCATTTCTGCAAATTCAGCCAACAATCCATCCTCCATTATTGGTGTAGTTTTCCATCTTTGTACATATAATAGCCTCACTGCAACCTTTTGAAGGTTCCATAAATAGTGCTCAGTTGCACGACATCACACTCACAGAAATGGTTACCAAATACCATTCTTTTTCTATATATGATTTTGTCTATGGTATATTCTTTACTAATCTCAAATTTAATAACATAACTGTCCCAAATGATGTTCAAAGGCTGTCCCTGGAATATTTAAAAAGCATACAAGTTTAAAATAAATGCTGCTATACAAAAGCAATACCCAAAGTCTATGTAAATCTTTCATAATTATAGCCGAAAAATGCAGTTTTTTATCATGGAAATCCAGGAAATTACAATTAAAAAAAAAAGACATAATCATATAACTTCTGAGGAACCACAATGAGAATGGCTAATCAAAAAGATTATATTTTATAGAATTTGAACTTTTTTACTACTTTCTTTTTTAAAAAGAAAAACATCCTATGCCAGGAGGTTAAAATACATGTTTACAACATTCTAATCGAAACCAAACAAAAATAAAAAATAGTTAATAGTGGTAGGATGATGCCCCGTGTATCCAGGTTATACTACGTAATGTAAGAGACCTGGGAAAGAGATTACAAGCCAAATCAAGCCAAAATTTATGGATTTTACAGCTCTCGAGCCTTCATCAAACTAAAATCATTGAATTTAGTCAGAAGTAAATCCCATTCTATCCAATAGCTAATTCAAAATAAATCCAAGAAAACTGTACTCTGTAACAGAATTCTTTTTATTATTATTATTATTATTTTCAGTTTGCCTTTGCAGGAGTTCAGAAGCAATTGTGTCAAGCTCCACATTTTTTTTACTATGAGGAAGTGGGCATGGTTATATCCTTGTCACCTCCCGGCTGGACTATTGTAATGTTCTCTACATGGGGCTTCCCTTGAAGAGCACTCGGAGGCTCCAGCTGGTCCAGAATGCAGCCGCGCAGGTGGTTATGGGCGCAACTCGTGCCCACGTGACACCCCTCCTGCACGAGCTGCACTGGCTCCCAGTGGTCTTCTGGGTGCGATTCAAGGTGTTGGTCATCACCTTTAAAGCGCTCCATGGCACAGGACCCGAGTACCTTCGAGATCGACTTCTGCCACCAATAGCCTCCCACCGGCCAGTTCGCTCCCACAGAGAGGGTCTCCTCAGGGTGCCATCAGCCAAGTTATGTCGGCTGGCGACACCCAGGGGGAGGGCCTTCTCTGTGGGAGCCCCAGCCCTGTGGAATGAACTGCCCCCGTAAATATGTAAGATCTCCGACCTCCGGGTGTTTCGCTGCGCACTGAAGACCCTGTTGTTCCGCCAGGCCGGGCTATCAACATAATAATTTTAAATTGGGGTATTTTAAATTTTCGGGGTTTTAAACCGGGCCAAATCTATTTAATTATTTTAATTTTTAATCATTGTTTTGTCTTGTGTTTTTAAATTGGCTGTACATCACCCTGAATCCTCCAGTTCCCCAAATGAGAAACTGGTCCTTCTTTTGGTAGAAAGTAATCCAATCTTTCCCTATGTCCCGTCCTAAAGATTCTAAGATCTTATGCCTCAGGTATCTAAGGGTCCATCTCACACTTCAGCCTGGGGCTTGAGGAAAGATTGGATTTGACTCACTGACTCTTTATTCAAATTCAGTTTAAATATGAGAATAGTAAAAAGATAAAGGATTCCCTACTCTGCTGGTCATTGCTGACTCTAGGTAATACCAGCCCCGTAATGGCCTCCAGATCAGAGAAGACAGGTGAGGCAAGATAGAAAAGAACATGGGTAGCTGATTATAATAAAAAAATGTGCTCTGAAGAGTAATCTTTAATCCTATAAACTAGCTTTTTACATTAAATTCTTTTATAAACAATGTTAACAACATTTAGAACAAAAGTAGATAAGTAACAATGCTGCTGTATCTTGAAGCAGATAATCAATATTAAATACAATTTATTAAACTGTGACATATGTTGGATGGGAGAAGGTTTTCTCTTGGCGTGAAAAAGTAATGCCAATATAGAATTTGCGGGAAATTGTTGCTTGTTAGATCACTGCCTATATTTTCTTTCAAGATGAGTTTGGGGAGGAGGCATTGGTATGGTACTCACATTAGCTGTGGCTCACTATCATTTTTTTTTCAGGTATTGGACAAAAAAACTCTTATGAGTCAAGAAATGCTCACACAAGAGTACTGCAACCCACACATATGTCAACTGTAACTCACTGTGACTGAACTGAACCTGCTTATAACAGCAATCAAGATTTCTAGTGCAAGAAAAATAAGTGCAAAGTTTGCCACAATGGATTTTGCTGCAAATAGAGGTCTCAACCTGTTACTCAATTTTCTACTTATTTTTTTTGGTTCTTGTTCTTATGTTCATTCTTGTAAAGCTCATGTGAGGGTTTTTTTTTAAAAAAAGTCTTCATTTATGCCATCATGGTAACTTGAACCTTCAAACTGTATGAATATAAAGAACAAAATGAACAAGACAAAAAAAAGCCTAGACTTAACATTCTGCAAATCAGGGAAGCTTTCACTGAAATAAAAAAAATATATATTATTTTTACAACGGAACTGATCAGATCAACAGCACAATCTGAAGCCTGAAGTAGAAAAAAGGAAAAACAAACATGAAATTCTCTACAGGAAGAAAATAATGGATGTGAACATGGAATCACCTGTGACTTTTATATTGGAGATAAGGGCAAATAACCACTGAGGAATTAGAAAAACTACATGAAGACAAATACTTATTTAGAGTAAATTTCCGCATATTTGATGATGATACCTATACACGGGAATAAAAATGAGCATAATGAGACTTTGTTTGAATAATCATGCATAAGATTACACTGCTTATTATTGTTAATATTACAACAGGGCATTTATATTCTATTATAAAGTGCTATAATAGAGTATTATAGTAATAACATTTTTAGCAAACCATAGAATACTCTTTCCACTAAAATCGTATTAACCTTCCCATACTTTATGTACTTCTAAGCCTGCTTGTCTCTTTTGTAGGGATTTATTCTGGGATGTCTGCCTCTCAAATTCACTACTGTTAGAAAGTTTCAGACTAAGTCCTATTCAATTACTCACTCCCTATGCCTTTCATGCAGATGAGAGGAATCTAAAAGACATTATAACATATGACTTTAAGGTTTTTTTATGTATTTATTTTTGTTGTGATGGCATTGCAAGTTATAACTTTGAGCAGACTGCAGAAACTAAGAATGCACAATTTCTTTGTAAGCAAAATATTTCCATTTGCCATTTTTTCTCTTCTTATCTTTATTTCACACAGAAATGAAACACCCAGTGAAATTATACTAGAAGTTATTACAATTTTTGATGTCCTCTGCCAGCTTTCCACAATCAAAATCAATGGGAAACAGGAACTTGGAAGTCAGTTACCTGAGGTCCTCGCTTTACAAACCTATGCAGTCCTCACTTAATGAACACATCTGGGACTGCTGGAACTGTCATCACTAAGTGATATGGTTATGTGACATCACACTTTACAACCGCATTGCTTAGGGATGGCAATTCTGATCCCAATTGTTGTCTAACCCAAGGATTACCTGTATCCGTGGAAGGTATGTGCATGTGTGCCCATCTTAGGACAAAACTTTGAGAATTCTGGCAATATAATAAGTGTTACAAGATGAACTAAGTTTGATAACATATCTTCAGAAAACAGCTACCAAATCTTTAAAACTTTTCAAAAATACAAATAATTATAACAAAAATTCCTGATAATCTAGAAACATAGTAGAATGTCTGAATATAAACTTTTGTGAAATCTTTATACACATCTGAGTAACTCATCTATACTTTAGTTATTTAAAAATTTCAGATTTATTTTAGCAGACTATACTTCTTTCTCAAGGTAACTTAGGCCATTAGCCTTGGCTTCTGAAGTCTGGAATGTTGCCATTCAAAACACAAATATCTTGTTATATTGGAGAGAGGGGGCACTTATTTAAATATGACCTGGAATACAGTAAAATTTGACATTTTGAGGAATTTCAAGAACAACCAGCTCAGGTCTTCCCAAATTGCTGCATCTTGTTGAGATTTATAGGAAGGCTACAATTAGTAAAAAGAAAAAAAAAATCTACACACATTCAGGTAGTCCTCAACTTACAACCATTCGTTTAGTGACTGTTTGAAGTTATGGTGGCATTGAAAAAAGTGACTTATGAAGAGTTCTTACACTTACAACCATTGCAACATCCTCACGGTCATACGTGGGTATTTGGCAACTAACATGTATTTGTGACAGTTGAATTGTCCTAGAATCATGTGATCACCATTTGCAATGTTTCCAGCCAGCTTCTGACAAGCAAAATCAATGGGGGAAACCAGATTTGCATAATGACCACCTGATTCATTTAACAACTGCAGTGATACACTTAACAACCACAGCAAAAAGGTCATAAAATGGGGTGTGATTCACTTAATAACTACCTTACTTAGCAATGGAAATGTTGAGCTCAATTGTAGTCATAAGTCAAAGTCTACCTGCATGAAAATGTCAGTACAAATACTTCAACAAATGCACTTGGTTATTGATACGTTATCATGTCATTTATTTTAATGTATCAACAGTGTCAAATTTTGCTGAATAATGAAAAAGAAGATAACATGTTCCATCTCTACAAATAATGTGTAACAATATTAATTTCCTCACTAACTCAGCAGCAGCAATATCACAAGGGAAGAAAACTCAAATTATATGACTTGATTAGATTATGACTTCCTCTATTTCTCAGCATAAAATTATTTTCACAACACACAATAAAACATAGGCATATAAGTGAATCTTCACCATTATAGGATTTGTAAAGTTATTAAAGAAAAAAAATCTTATTAAAGCATTCTAAATGACAGAAAACCAAACGTTTCCCTCTTTTATTCTTTTAAATATATGATATTATTAACAGCTAGCAAAGGATCCAGATCATATTAGAATTATGACACCAAGGTAAATTACCTGTGTGTATCTTGTTGTTACTATTATTATTTTCATATCACTTATTGTTCTGTGTCACACTGGGAATGTTAAATGAAACTGTTACATAATTATTGTTCCTAATTATGACATACCTGACAAATCTGTGAAGTGGTCAACTCTTATAGTCATGAGGCTAAGAAACAACGAAGACTTTACTCTTAATTTTGCTTCTACGCTAAACTCACTAAAAGACTTTACCTAAAACATTACTTCTTCCCTTTAGCCTTATCCCTCTACCATACGGAGAAAGAAAACAGCCTACCTTATAAGGTTCTACTAATTATTAAATACTGTGTTCTATGTCAAGTAAATAAAACTAAGTTTATAAATGCTGGCTACCTAATATTTTTTTAGATCATGTACATGGTACATCAATTTAAGTACTTCTTTCTTACTGGTAGGGCAGACACACTGCCAAGGCTCCACAGTGGTGTCTTCTCTCTCTCCTTTATAGCAGGGGTGTCAAACTCGTGGTGTCACGTTGTCATCACGTGACATTTCATGACTTTTTTCCCTTCGCGGAGCTGGGATGGGTGTGGCCTGCGTGTGAGGCATTTGGCCCGTGGGTCCCCAGTTTGACACCCCTGTTTTATAGCTTCTGCTACAATACAGAAAGAGCAGCTTCTAATTTCTCCCTGCAGGAACCACAGACATTCAATGCACAATTGATTAGCCATGATGTTAATATTTACTGCCTCAGTAAATCCTATTATCACCCTGAAGAGATTTGGCTGACTGGAATCAAGGACTTAAGTTTAAGAAGCACTCTATTTAACACAGATATTTTGTTTTTCAATTTACCTGAACTGCAAAGGAACACTGATTCTTTTTGAATTACCCAGAGCTCTACATCAAATTATGTGGATGTCATCTTATCCACCAGCATCTTGATATATTAGATGCAATATGCAACCATGAGGTGACTGAGGTACGCTTGCTGAATCAGTGCTGTCTAGCCACAAAATGTCAGTGTTTGCAATTCACAAGCTAAGCTAAATATATAGGTAAATGGGAGAAGATGGATATGTTTCTCTGTAACCAGTTACCTGAAACATTCACATTTTGCAAAACCAGTAAAACCCCTAAGAGTCTTTTTAGAATTGAGAAGCATTTAAATTGCAGCAATAAACAAACTAAAAAAGAAACACTTACCGTATGTTTGTTTAAATAAATAAATAAACTTGTTATGCTAGTTTGGTGTACTGATTAAGGTACCAGGCTAGAAAGCAGGAGATCACTGAAATAAAATACATCATCATCACCACCACCACCATCGAGTTCTAGTCCTACTTGAGCAAAAAGCCAGCTGAACATCTTTGGGCCAGTCATTCCCTCTAAGCTGTAAGAAGCAGGCAATGGAACTTCTGAAAAACTTTGCCTATAAAACTACAAGGACTAGACCAGTTGCCAGAAATCAATGCTGATTTGAAGGTATAAACAAACAAAAAAAAAAGCTTCAGGTATGTTTCCTGATCTTGCACATGCCACTGATATTTCTAGAAGCAGCCCATTATTTTCCAGGCATCTGTGTAAGCCTGAAAAAGTACACTGCTGTCTTAAGGAGTGTTTACAATATTTTGGCATTTTCCCTCTTTCTTTGTATGGCCATATGTGGACATCAGATAAAAAGTGACCTGCAATGGTAACATTAAGAACTCTCTGCTTTAATATGTGGGTTTTAAAGTAAAAGCAGTCCAGTTGCTTAAGTTTCTACAACTTTATTCCATTTCTTTTCAAAAAAAATCTTGTTAAAGGAAATGCTAGGAGAATCCTGCTTTGGGCTGAAGTGGGCTGCCAAGAGCTTAATATGATTATATTTGTATGACATCTGACACAAGCATGTAAGTTACAGCATTTACGTGATAATAGTATCATGCATGTGTTATCGCTGCCTCTCCATGGATGCCTGCCTAAGCTACATATTCATTTTTAATCTTCCTTCCAATATTTGCATGTGGAGAAAGAGAAAAAAACTGAGATGAATTAAGTTAGCACCATTTTATAGCAACTGCTATCTCAACTGATTTCAATGAAAACCTTTATAATAAAACAGAATAGCAAATACAAGCTTATTCATTGAACAGAACAATGTCTGGTATTATTTTTCTCATAAACCACTGGGTGGCAGCAAACACTGAAATTTGATTCTTACCTGCAGAGTGTGTTCACTTCCTGTTCTAAGTTCTTCAAGTTGCTGTAACTGCCAAGGAGATAAACTGTATGACTCCTCAGAAGGCCTGGATTCTGGAGGATTTGTACGAAATTGTTCTGTAAGCCACCTCTGAGTCCTTTCAGAAGATTGAATGGAAACCTGGGATGGGACTGCAGCCTGTGGTTCCAAAGTTATATATTCTTGATGAAAAGCTTCAGAGTTTAATGGAGCAGGCTTGCTTTCAGGTAAGGCACTATAGGTCATATCTAAGGCATGTCTCCTGCTTGAGACATCAGGAACCCCCCAATCTTCTTTGCTGCAACTTTCAAATTTGTATTTGCAGTTCAAACTAGAATTCTTTTTCTTCCCATTTTCTCTGTCCTCAGACTTTAATAGTTCCATACTACTGTACAAGCAATTTGACCCACTTGTTCTTAATTGTGGTGAAACAGTCTTGTCTCTTCCATTTGTATCCAAGTTGGTCCTGCATTCTGCTGAATAAACATCCCCATCCTGGTTACAACTAAGAGGTGTGCTGAGTTTTGACAACGATGACCACTTCCTTACAGGCCTCAAATCTTTCATATCAAGAGAACTGTCCAACATGCCCTGATGCCTGCTTTGAGCAGATCTCAAAAGGCTTGTGCTCCACTTTGCAGAGCTGGACTTGAGAGGATCCCTATGTTTTGAAAGCGAAGTGTTGATATGAGATGGCATTACATGAGCAGTGGGAATTGAGACCAATGAGCGGCTGGGCTTAAACGAGGAAGTACCACTTGACGTGGAATGATCTGGGAAGAAAGATGTTCATCATGTGAGTTCTTGTGAAATAGCCAGTCTTAATGGGAATAACACAAACAAATAGATTTAAATTACTTAAAATATACATTTAATATATTCATGAACATCGACAGATGTATTGGCAAGAGATGTTGTATTGTACCATGGCACAAATGACTCAAATGATCTATTAATGTTCTTTTGCATCATACAACAAAATTATGCAGGTGTTTTATTTAAGTCATTTTCATGATGGAATATAAGTCTGACATCACTATGACTTTTCAGAATATATGTTTAAGACTTTTTTCCTACAAAGATACATATGGACATTTGGCAACAACTGCTATGAATTCTACCTTATCACTAGCAAGCAACCATGCTGAAATACACTGTTGTCTCTGAATGGGCTCCTCCTACAGAGAGTTATATAGTACTAATCAAATGTTTACCAAGAAACTGCTTTCTCTTCTAACAAGCCAGTCTCAGACTAGGATTTTGTAATTAAAAAATAATTTGACTTGCTAAGGAAATAACTGCATACACTCAGAGAGAGAGAGAGGGAGGGAAGGAAGGAGGGAGAGGGAGAGAACTAAGTTTTTAATAATAATACCTGGGTGTAGTTCTCTGATTCTTTTTGCAAAAAGAGTTGAACTGAAGCAAATAGATTCTGTATATTGTTAATTTTGTATGAACACGGCCTATGAGAACTGATTTTTTATTTTATTTTATTGTATTCATCGTTTTACTCCTGTTATTCAATTTTTGGAGAATGATTATGGTTTTTCTCTTTAAAAGGAAGTATAAGGCTTACTGCATACAATCTACATAATTATAAAGTGTATTCATACTTAATTCCTTATAAGAAATCAATTTATTTTAGCAGGTCTTACAGTTGACATATAAATACAAGAATAAGGCCTAACAGAATTTGTAGCAGAGATGTGGAAAAGAAAACCAATTATACACCCAAACTATGGAAATCAATTACATGCCAGGAAACAGAAATTATATCAATTGTTTTGTTGGTTGGTTGGTTTATGAAATTCGATAATGAGAATTAGAAAACTTTAAAAGAACACTGTTGTTTTTTAGTAATGACTGCAGTTTGAGGTATCTTCTAAAAAATAAGTTTAAGTTACTAAATAGGAAGAAGTTGCACTTGATAAGTAGAACCTAAACATAAGGTGACATGTAAATGCTATTTTTTCTCTGTTTATGATATTTAACAATTAAAGGTTAATGTCATTATAAGAAATGTTCAAATACACAGACAATATAGATACGCAGTAAGTTGGAGCCAAAATGGTAAGGATGCTTCCAATGTTTGGTATGTTCCCTTTGTTGCAATGATCCCTACAACATCGTATGAATCTCCCCAATTCTCAGAAAGAGGCCTCTACGGGGAAGAGGAGGCTGCAGAAGAAAGGAGGGACTGCAAAGTTTCTATTGTGTTCATAAAACAGGAGGCCAAATCAAAGGCTATACCTGGAAAAACCCAGAATGTTGCAATGGCATGACAACTTTCTCAGTCCTCTCATTCTGGCTCCATTCTCAATCTGAAATATCAGAAGGCTTACAGAAAATCCCAATGTGCCAATGTTCCTAGACAAATAAGCAAGTTAAAATTAACATAGGTGAGGCAGAGGCAGCTCTCCCATGCCAAGCAACTGCTGCTTTGCATCAAAGTCTGCAGAGATGCAAAAATAAACAGCTAATCCTGGCATTAGAACCTCCTACGTTACACAGCTCAACCTCCCCCCACGCTGCTGCTCACGTTGCTGCTACACAGGAGGCTTGTTAAATGTTGTACCATTTATTCTTATTATCACATTTCTGGTTTTCTGAAATGGAGAAACAAGTGAAACTTTCTTTCACATTATTGCAATTTTTCTAGAATAGTATTCAACTCTCGGGGTAAAGAATCAGCCACAAAAATCCTTGGAAATCACAGAGACATGATAGGTAGGGATCCCCAAAGATCAGGCTTGAATTTCATTACATATGACACCTCTCATAACTGCATTTCATGGATATATCTGTTAACCAATGTAAGCAAAGACATCGTTGATTATAAAATATTTGAACTAATTCAAGTACTGTATATTAAAATGTTATACTAAGTATACTCAGAAATACTTCTTAAATACCTGACTATAAACAATAGATTTCCGACATGGTGTTGTACCATGAGGCTGGCAACAATGAAAATTTAAGCTCATATGTGGACATGCAATATTTCCTATAGGTTAAGATCCTTTTTTTCTTTTTCTTTTTTTGCCCTTATGGGCCTGAGACCCCTGATTTGAATTGATGATGTTGTTTGTTCTCAGGGTATGAAAAGGGAAGTGCAACAGTTTTCTCTTAAACAGCATACAAAGACTTCAAAGAGTTTGAAAACCAATAATCCCAAAAGACCGGCTCTTGGGCTCACTTTCTTTCAAGCCTAGTAGATATTTAAGCCAAATAACACTACTGAAATTCAGAACAGGTCTTAACCCTGGAAAAAAAATGAAATGAGTTTCCAACAATTCTTTTTGAGGGGAATTTACCAAGTACTGGTAGCCCACACTTGATGGTTAAGAACTTTCATTGCTAAACGATTCGGCTGTAAAGGGCAAAATTATGTGACTACCCACTTAGCAATGGCAATTCCGGCAATCCCTGGTTACTGTTGTTAAGCAAATCATTGTGGGTCATTAAACAAGGACCTCAAGTGACTATGACTTCCTGCCAGCTTCTCCATTTACTTTGTTTGTTGGAGTCTGGAAGGGAAGGTCACAAATTAAGATCAGAGAGGCTTTGTGAAAGGTCAGCAACTAGCACCCTCAATTGGGTGTGCTTCTTCAGCAATGGGCGGTGGAAGAAGATGACAATGGGCAGCTGGAGCCAGTGGGGAACAGTAGAGATAGGGAGTAGCACTGTTGGATGGCCAAAGGGGAAGAGATGGGGGGGGGGAAGGAATAGGTGGTCAGTGGAATTTGAAGCATACCATTCTTTTCGGAGTATAAGACTCACTTCCCCCTCCTCCTAAAAGAGGGTGGAAATGTTGGTGCGTCTTATACACCAAATACAGCCATTTTTGGCCTCCCGAAGCCCCACCCCATGTGTCCCATATTTGTGAAAAACAAGCTCATTTTTCATAAAAACGGCACACAGAGGCTTTGGGAAGCCTGCAGAGTGCTCTTGTGGGCTGGGGAGGGCAAAAACGTTTTTGTGAAAAATGGGCCCATTTTTGGCCTTCCAAACCTCCCACGTATTGTGTTTTTGCCCTCCCCAGCCCCTGAAGCACTCTGCAGGACTCCCAAACCTTCTACACGCTCCATTTTTGTAAAAAATTGGGCACGCAGAGGGTTTGGGAGGCCTGCAGAGTGCTTCTGGGGGCCGGGGAGGGCAAAAACTTTTTTTTCTTGCTTATCTCTTCAAAATCTTGGTGCGTCTTATACACCAATGTGTCTTATAGTACGAAAAATATGGTACTTGGCATTTATAAATGTAGGCAGGTTCCAACCACCCAGATTTTCACCACATGACTGTGGGGACATTGCAATGCCTGTAACTTTGTGGATCCACCATAACTACCACTCGGTCAGCATCATCATAATTTTGAACGGTCACTGAACAAATGTTTGTTAAGTGAGGATTATCTTTAATTTAAAATACCACTTACTGGAAGAAGAGCCATTATTTAATATTTTCCTGCTTATCCATTCTGAGCATTCCCATCCCAGCTGCATTACAGAGAACAGAAGATTAAATGACCAATATATGAATATTTAATCAGCTATACATTCATTGGGGCTTATACTCAGGTAACTGTGCAATGGGATTAAGTGAAAATAAACCTGTGAAGTCTCAGCAGATGGTAGAATTTGACATCAGTTTGTCTGTACTTAGAAAGACATGGGCAGGACATTATCAAGGAATACCAGAATTGTGGGCTACGTATGGAAGACAACAAAAATATCTTAGAGACTGACAGTAGCAGACTATTTCTGTACTACCATGAAGAAAATTACATGGACTTGTGAAGCAACTAGGAATCAAGCTCAAGGTTTTTACCAATGCTTAATAGCAACCACATTCAGTTTCCTGTGGATATTGTTAGAGGAACAGTCATGGTAGGTTCGCTCTGAATACAAACTAACTGCCTCCCCCCTTTTGCCTTCAACTGTTTCTTCTTTAACTGTGATTCAATGAAGAGGCAGCTTGCACTCTGATGGGTTCTGCACAATATTCAGCTCTTCCAAAGTCCCATGTTTTGAAGTCTCTATTGAGCTGCGGGTTCCACCAATTAAATAGAATGAAAAGCAGGAGTTAAACTAATTAAACAGAGATGATAGTTTTCTACTGTATAACCAGGAGTCATGATAACTGCTGGAACAGATATAATTTTACCAAATCATTTGCACTGTTCGAGTGTTCAGTTGCAATTTTTTAAATCCACAATTAAATGAATGTGTACAATGGCTGTTTTCACCATCAACAACACTGAAGAAAAGGTGCCAAAAGTATTTCTATTCAGGGAATTGTGTATCAACAACATGACTTAATGACATCTCTGTGGTTTTCTTTTTATTTAAAATAAATATTTAGTTACAGAATTTTATTTCACTATACAGTAATCGCTTAGAAGTTCCTGAAAGAAATGTCACTACAATGTTTCAAGTGTTACAGATTTTTCTTATTAATGAGGCTACAAAGGCAATGTGGCGGGGGGGGGGGGCTACAAAACAAGTTATTCAAGTCGATCCTTTCTTCTTCTTTCATATGATTTCTGTCTGCACCCAAAAGCATAATATTGTATTTTTCTAACCATTAGCCAGATGCAATATCTTAATGTTCTATTATAGGGCTATACTGAAAAAAATGTAAGTAGGTCTCTATTTTTCACTGAACAATCCAACAATAGGCTCAATTGCATTATGATGCAACTGATCTGCTGTGTTCCTGGCTAAAAAAGAGAGACTAACACAACATAAGTTGCCATAGTACTGCAAATACAAAGCCA